TCAAGCCCCGCGTGGGGTTCTGGGCTGATAGCTCAGAGCCTGGAGCCTGCTTCAGATTCTGTGTCTCCTTCTCTCTCTGCCAATCTCCCTCTCTCTCTCTCATAAATAAATAAACATTAAAAAAAAATTTTTTTTAAGAGAGAGAGGGGCCACTGGGTGTCTCAGTCTGTTAAGCATCCAACTCTTGATTGTGGCTCAGGTCGTGATCTCATGGTTCATGAGTTTGAGCTCTGTGTTAGACTCTGTGCTGGCAGTGCAGAACCTGCTTCAGATCCTCTGTCCCCATGTCTCTGCCCCTTGGCACGTGCTATCGCTCAAAAATAAATAAACATTAAAAAAAGAGAATGAAATTACCTGCCTTGTTGGCTTATTTTCAAGATTAAATGAGTTCACATATATAACATATGGTCAGTCTATGGGGATCACTTTCAGAAGTGGCTGGCATTTCGTCAATTCTGGATAAATGTTGGGTGGTGGTGTTTTTCGACTGGCCTGCTAGCAGAAGGCTGAAGAGGAAGGTGGGGAGGGACCTTTCTCCTTTCTGCCTGGAAAGTCCCCTCACTTCACCAGCTCAGATTTTCTCCACCTCCTCTGAAGGCCTCGTTCTTTCTCAGAGGAGTCTTGCTACCCTTCTGATCTGAAGTAACCCCATTCCCTCCGCTGTTGTTTCCCGCGTGACATTATCTTCATCATCATCTGTTACCGTCATGTGTTACTTCACGCTCGTTCATTTAAGGGCTGTGTCTCCCATTAGCCCGATGGTTTCCCAGGGGCGAGGTGTGGCCAGGGGGCCAAGGACTTGGGCTGAGGGGTCTGACGAACTAGAATTCCAATTTTGGCTAACCCCCTACTGACTGTGTGATCGAGGGAAGCTTTCCTACCTTCTCTGAGACTCAGTTTTCTCACCTTTCAAAGGGTGAGTATAATGTCCAGCTGCCTGCCTGGGTGCAGAGATCGACTCTAAAACCTCATGAGTGCTTAGCACAGTTCCTGGAACAGCACGTACCAATAAAGGTGATTAACATCATTATCATTCCTAACGAGACAGCCATCCGCTCGACATCCTGGCAGTGGTAATAAGTGCGTTGGAAGTTCCCTGCCATCCCCCCCTGCCACTTCCCCCTGTGGTAGAATATTGTCTCATACTGGCTGGGATCACGGGGAGTAAACGGTAATTAATGATTTGGTTGAGCTGTAAGAAACAGTTCAGGGTCTCAGATTGCTTATCTTTGAAAGAAAGGAGCCAGTGGGTGTGTGTGTGAGCATATAAGGTTTTAATGCCGTTCATGTGTTTGTTACTCATTCCAAGGGGAGGGAGTTGATGATTGTTTCCATCTGGAGGGACTGAACTTCAGGTAGTGCAGGGCAGGTAAGGTGGGCGTGGTGCGTCAGGAACAGCGCTGCTGAGACCTGGAGGCCCAGATGCGTGCTTTCAGCAGGTGTGAGGAGTTAGGGGTCAGCCGAGGAGGCTGGGAGAGGGTAAGGGGAAAAAGAAAGGATTTCCCCAGAGACTGTCGGAACCTGAGCAAGATCAAGTCCTAAATAACGTGGCCGTTGTTATCACCGGCACAGATTAGAATTCTGGTTCTGTTTGAGACTCTCCTGGGAAGAAGTGGAAAAGAGGGTCAGAGAACCTATACAGGGATGTAAGGAAGGAAATTCGGTCCTAGGAGACTGCAGATTCCAAGTATGATGGGAAATTTGGAGCCAGCTTTCCTCTGAGCTCCCGGTGGGTATTTTCGTCTTTCAGAAAAAGCAGGTTCATTTTGTGTACCTCTTTTACAGATGGGGAGACTGAGGCCCAGAGAAGTTGGGCAACTTGTGCGGGTCATGTGGATAGAAAATGGCAGGGCCAACGGTTTCCCCACACACATCAGACTATTCGGGATGATCCCGTTAATACTATTTGTTGTTGGTATTGGGTTAATTTTAAGTAGAAATGGCTGTCAAGGCACCCAGTGGCTTTGTGGATGGGACCAGAGGTGGAGGCAGACCCACTTGTGACTCTGTGACTCAGTCTTCCGGTAACTAGGAGGGAAGAAACCAAGCCCCCCACTCACAGTGTGGGCCTCGGTAGCCGTGTAGACACTGCACCCTTGCAACTCCCCAGGCTTCTCGAGCAGGACTGATCTGCACAGCCATCTCCCACACTTGGAAGGACTTATGCAAGTAGGTTGACTGTCTCTTCAGGCAGGAGTTGGTTATCCTTAGGGGGGTCGTATTCCGCAAGGTGAGGAACATTCTGTCTTTAGATACCACCAAGATTTGTATTCACAGGAGGATATGCAAGATTAAGTGACCTTTACTATGGAATGCAAAACTACTTACTTGTATATTCTCCACAACCACCCTGTGAGATAGGTGCTATTATTTCCCCCTTGCCTGGTGAGTCATCTGAGGCCCAGAGAAGTTTCATTTGCTCAAGAACACATAATAAAAGGCTTACCAGGGGATTTAAACCAGATAGTGTTGTTCCACAGCCTGTGTTCTTAAATACTATGCTAAGCTCATTTTGATGAGTGAGTGCCATCCATCATCTGCCCATTCATTTCTGAACTCATCTCTTTACCCACCTTTCACCCATCCAGCCAGTCATCTGTCCATTTATCTGTCCTTTTTGTCATCCACCCGTCCCATGTGTTCATCTCTCTGCCAGCTATCCATTTTTCCTTTCCTCCCTCCCTCCCTCCCTCCCTCCCTCCCTTCCTTCCTTCCTTCCTTCCATCCATCCCGTGATCCACCTATCTATACATTCATCCACTCAGCCATCCATTTTCACGCATCCACCCACCCGCCTATCCATCGTGTTGGCTCTGTCTAACATGGTTTTCTGCTTTGTCCTGGGGAAGGAGTGTTCTCCATATATTTTCTGAAGCTGGAGACCTCCGTGCCAGCACAAATCCCTTAGCTCCTAAGAAGTATCTGGGCTCACTCCTGATACTCCTAGGCTGGTGCTCTTGACAATGCTGCTCTTTCAAGGCAGTGCCAGCTTGCTTATTCCCTGTTCCCTCTGTAAACCTGCAGAGGGTTTCCCCCTCCAAAGACCTCCCAAAGTGCAAAGGTGCAGGCTCCTCCAGAAATACTCTGGACTTTCTGAAGCATTATCACAAATAAATACTCAACTAGTCCCGTTCCTCGATCCAAAGATTGGGAGTTGGATTAGTTTGGCATGGTTTTACTTTTTTAAACTGTTACAGAGTTTGTGTGATACATCTAAAAATTATGTAATGAATCTAAAACAGATGTTCACAGAGCATTTTGTAAGGAAAGGAGTTTTAATAGAAATAGGCCAATTTGATCGTAGATAAATCAATTAAGGAAACCATTTAAATTGTCTCTAAAGAAACAGTATTATGAAGAGGCAGCATGGCCTAGCTATTTGCATATTTATTAAGTGCAAAGCAATGAACGTCGCTTAATTATTTTGCATAGCCTCTGTTGTACATAAACCATTGGGAGACAGTCTTTTCAAAGTTATTTTTTCTTTTTATTATGTAAAATTTTAAACAGAAAAATTCAAACACGTAAACAGAAACAGTCATATAGCGAACCCCCCATGTATTTGATAGCCATCTTGAAATATGATCGACTATACGTGTATTGATTTCTCCCTTCTCGCTTTGTTTTTCTTTTCATGAGTTTCAAGGACATATTCCTCACTTATTAATTTCATGGGGTCAAAATCCCATGATTTTGGATGTAGTTTCATTTTTTTGAATGTGGTTGTTTTATTTTTTCACTGAAACTTAGCTTTTTTAGGGTAGAGCATTGGATATTTTCTGTCGGTTGTTTTTTTTTGTTTTGTTTTGTTTTTTTTTTTTTTAGTTTAAAGAATTTTACATCTAGGGTCAGGTTGACAGGGTAGTAAAGGACCCTCACATGCTCTTCCCCTGGATTGACCAGTTATTAGCATCAAGACTGGCCTTTTCCTAACCGTGTTCTTCCGGGAGATTACTTGAAGGCAGGGATTTTCATAACTTTGAAGGTGTGTGGACTGTTAGCACAGAGTTTTAGAGCCAGATGGATAGAGGTTCAGACCTCACCTCTGCCACCGCTTAGCCCTGCCTGGTAGACAGTTTACCAATCTGTAAATTGGTAAATTGGTAAATACTCAATCACTTCATCTATCAAACAGGAAACAGCAGTTACACCCATGGGGTTATGCAAGGCATATAATAGGCTCTCAGCTAGTGTTACCTATCACCTGGCCTACCAGCTGTACCCTCCATGTTGTGGGGAGGGGGGGTTGAGTTTTGTTGATGCAAGTCATTTTTGATCAGTATGGAAGATTTTTGTAGTGGAGAGAGCTGGTTTGGCCTGTGATTAAGAAAATAAGTCTGGGGTAAGAGTGGTTCAAATCCCAGCTCTGCCCTTACCAGCTTGGAACTTGGTTAAGTGACTTAATCTCCCTGAAGCCTTGTTTCCTTAAGTATAAAGTGGGGACAAGAACGAATCCGTACTGACTGCACTGGGTTGTTGTTGAGGGGAAAATGACATGGGAGCGTCCAAGCCCCGCATTTAGTCACGCCAATGAGTGTGACTAATCATTCCTATTATTATAAATAAGGATACATTAGCATAGTGCCTACCGTGTGAACGCTCAATAAATGTTGCTCGCTATAAGTAAGGGTGAAAAAGTCACACCGCACTGGTCTCCAAACGTCTGATTTTACTTCAGTGCAGTGAAAAGAATAAAGATCTTTAGTGAAAGCTCGTGCTGTGATTTCAGGCAAGAGTAAGCCTTGGAAGGACAGGCAGGTGCCACCAGCCAGGCATGGCCTCACACAGTTGTCATGGGAAACAGCCGAGTGCCTTTGGTTCCATTCAGTGGTGTCCTAAAATAAACCAGCCTTCTTGAACGCTCCTGGAAGTGTCAGCTTCCGAGGTTGAACGGCCTGTCCCCTGGCCCGTGTGTCTCTGTCCTCAGGGCTTTGTGCGGTTGTTGCCTGGGCCTGACTTCTTTCCTCCGCCCTTTTTTTCTCTCTCTTCCCTGACTCTCTTATCTCGTACCTCAGGTCGAAAGGATCGTAGACAAGAGGAAGAACAAGAAGGGAAAATGGGAGTATCTCATCCGGTGGAAAGGCTACGGCAGCACGGAGGACACGTGGGAGCCAGAGCACCATCTGTTGCACTGTGAGGAGTTTATCGACGAATTCAACGGGCTGCACGTGTCCAAGGACAAAAGGATCAAGTCAGGGAAGCAGGCCAGCGCCTCCAAGCTCCTGCGTGACGGCCGAGGCCCGTCGGTCGAGAAACTCTCCCACAGACCTTCAGAGTCCGGGAAGAGCAAAGGGACTTCCCATAAACGGAAGCGGATCAACCCCGCCCTGTCCAAGCCGAAGAAAGGGTATTCGGCCAAGCCCCCCGCAGGAGGTGACAGGGCCGCCAAGACGGTGTCTTACAGGACTACCCCCAGTGGTTTGCAAATAATGCCGCTGAAAAAGGCTCAGAATGGGATGGAGAATGGGGACGCCGGTTCCGAGAAGGACGAGAGGCACTTTGGAAACGGCTCCCATCAGCCTGGCTTGGATTTGAACGACGTCGGAGAGCAAGACCTGGCCGAGTGTGGTGTGAACCACGCGGCACCGGCAGAGAACGGGCTTGGTACGTGGCTTGTCTTTGTCTTGTGTTCGCTTCTGGCTGTGGGGGCCGGGCACTTTGCATGCAGCCTGGGGGAGTGCTTGAGACCCCGACTCTTAGCTAGGCGGTCATTCCCCTTCCGGCTCGCTCACCGAGAGTCGTGTGGACTTGGTCATAGGCCCACACTGGTTGCAGACACCTGTGCGTGTGTGAAGGCCAAGCCACAGACGCTCCCTTACTACTCGAACACACCCAAGGCCATGGTAACCCCTCGAGAGCCCCTGTTCTGGAGGGCAGCTCAAAGTCCTCACCCACCGGGACCTGAGACTCGTGTCCCCGGAGGGCTGGCCAGTGCCTCTCCGGGGTAGAACGCGCCTCCTAGAGGCTTTGCTTTCGAGCTCATTGAGCCCCCACCCCCCAAAGCCGTGTAGCCCAGAAAGGCGGGGTCTGCCCCTCTTCTCAGACCCAGTTTGGACTTGAACTTCTCCATGCCAGTTCTTCAGCTGGAGCCTCTGCCCCTCCTCTATCACTAGCGTGGGTGCTCCGGCCCCATGTCCAGGGTGGGTCTGAGAGCGCCCTGACCCCGTCCTATGCTAATTCTCTGGGTTTGCACCTTCTTACTCCACCCTGGAAGCAGCACAGCAAAGGCACAGAATTCCTCTCTCTTACCGAGTCCCCACAGGCAGAGTTAAGATAAGAGGAGGCAAAAGGTCATTAACGCTCCCAAGCCTGACGTTTCCTTAATGGTGAAGTTACTCCTTGACTGGGCCTTAGTGGCCTGCGGCCGCCAGGCCATCTGTACCTGTTTCGTGCACCCCCTCGTTTCTCGGGTATCCGTGTCCCTTGGTGGTGACATTTCCCTCTTGAGCTGCCAGAACCCTAAGCCTTGGCATAAGCGTGGACGACCCGTTCCCGACAGAGCAGGGACATCTGATGCCCTGGGTGGAGCTAGAGTGTGTGTGGGAGTAAGGTAAAGGATGCAGGTGGGATGGGCTGGCAGCGCTCCCAGGAGGGGGTGATGGAGCCGATGCCCGGCAGCGCGACGGTGATTTCAGAGTTCAGAGTGCTCAGGGCACGCCCCGCTGCAGAGAGAGCCCCGCGTCTTGAGGGAATCTTGCTGGGGAATCCGAGGCCTTTCTCCAGAGAGAGGGATTTCACCCAAACAGGATTTATTTAGCAGTGTCTGCCCCAGATTGACTCATGTTTCCGTCTGGGGATCCCTGATGCTGACATGACTCTGCCTGCTAACATATGTAAAAGCTGTTTGTTTTAAAAATTCATCTCTCGGGGAGGAGTGGGCTTGTGTAAATGAGGCCTGGCATAAACATCCGTGTCTGACGTTCCGCGACAGCTGCCGGCGGGAGAGGGATTCCCCGGCTCGGGGAGGGTGGCTGGCGGGCCGGTAGTCTGAGGCTCCTTGGGTGTGGGTGCAGGGGACCCGGGGGTGACTCCTGGGTCCCCGGCCGGCCGGCACGTTCCCTTGTCCTGCTTCCAATGTGGCCGCCTTGGGAGTGGGAGGAACAGCACGGGGGAGGAAGGCTCGTGGACTGTAGCCGCCAGACTGCAGGGGGAAGCGGGGAAGCCGGACGCGGAGAGAAGGGCAGATGGAGGTAGGCCTCTCCTTCCACACGACTTTCCGAAGTTGCCCTCCATCTATGGGCCTGGTCGGTGCCCTCTGGTTTACGATCTGCCGGTGGGACGTGGTACCCCCCCACCCCCCCAGCAGGGGGAAAGGCCAAGGATGAGCCTGCTGGGATGCAAGGTGGCCTTGTTAGATCCCGGCCTCGGCTCTACGATGCTTCTCTAGACCTTTCTCATCTCTGGTCTCTTACTGGCCTCATTTTTTTTTTTTCCTGACGTTGAATGTTCTCCACCTGGGCCCGTGCCTGGGTGGAGAGGAGGAGGCTACCTGCCTCTGTTGTGTTCTGTTTTGGGTGTTCTCAAAGGGCTCTTTCTCTTGATCACATTGCCTAGTGTTGGTGTCCTTGAGATTCCCCTGCAAGGTTAGGGCTGTGGCTCTCAAATGTTATGTGTGTAGATTACCCGGCCCCTTGTTAAAAATGAAGGTCCCATGGAGTCTGATTTACCAAGGGTGGGGTGGTTAGCCCAGAAGATGGGTTTTTAAATAAGCAGCCCCACGTGACTCTAAGGCATTTTGAAATGTGCTCTGTAAAATGGGGGTGGCCATTAAGGTTCACATCAGGTGTCAGTTTAAGTCAATTCAGTGTTTTTTCTTTTCTTGTTTTTTCTTGTTTTTTCTTGTCTTGTCTTGTCTTGTCTTGTCTTTTTTTAGCACTTCCTAAGAGTTAGCCACCATGCTAGGCATTTGGAGTAGCACAATAAAACGATAGGGACTTCTGCCTCCAAAACCTGCAGTTTAGGGACACCTGGGTGGCTCAGTTGGTTAAGTGTCTGACTGTTGACATTGGTTCAGGTCAAGATCTCATGGTTCGTGAGTTCGAGTCCTCTGTGCTGACAGCATGGAGCCTCTCTCTCCCTGTCTGCCCCTCCCCTGCTATCCCTTGCTCTCTCAAAATAAATAACTAAACTTAAAAAAAAAAAGTATCTGAAACTTAGTTTGCTCTCTAGTTAAGTTGAGAGTGAATGGTTCCATGTCAGTGTTGAGAAGGTTCCTGAGGCTGGCTCATTGGAAGAGGTAATGTGTATTTTATTTTAAAAAAAATTGTTTTTTTTAACATTTATTTATTTTTGAGAGAGAGACCGAGTATGAGCGGGGGAGGGGCAGAGAGAAAAGGAAACACAGAATCTGAAGCAGGCTGCAGGCTCTGAGCAAGCTGTCAGCACAGAGCCTGATGCGGGGCTCAAACCCACAAACTGTAAGATCATGACCTGAGCTGAAGTCGGATGCTCAACTGACTGAGCCACCCAGGTGCCCAGTAACATGTATTTTATACACATGATATATCTTTGCCATGCCCACTTTCACATTTTCTGTGGTCATTGGGCTGATAAGTTCTCCAAACACGGTCAGCCTTTAACATTCTAGTTAGAACTAGCTTACTGTGTAGGTCTTGGGGAAATTGGGGAAAGGAAAAGACTGGGAATCCTTGCCAAAGAGAGAAAGCAGTTTGGGGCTCTTAGATAAGACTCAAGACAGAGGGGCTTTGTGCTTCCAGAACTTGTCAGCAAGGGGCCAGAGGTGTAGTCAAGCAAAACATGGCTCCACTTAGGTTTTCGACCAGAGAAAAGTCTCGATGAAGGCAGTGTCCCTGCCCATGTGGAATCCTGAGCGTCAGCCCTCTCCCTACCTCCACCAAAGGATCCAGCTCCTTGTGGCACAAGGTGAGCCCGGGGGGTTTGTAGCCCCATGGAGGGCTCATCTTTGCCTGGCAGAAGGCGATGGGGAGATCCTGGCTTCGCTTTCCCGGCATTTGTTTTGGGGGCGGGCTTACTTTTTTTATGATTTCAACTTCTCGTTGGTGAATTAAGGTTCTGCATACAGAAAAGCAACTTATATAACACGTTACTCATTTACTGCTGACTTCCCTGATCTGTGCTGTGGGAACAAATGCTAAATTGGGGCTCTGGCGGGGGGGTGTTTTGGTTTCAGACTGCATTTTCCCCAGCAGTGTTTGTATGCGGCCACTCAGTACTGCTTTGATTCTCACTCCTCTGGTAATGACAAATGGCTCTGTGGTCCAGAACCATCTGCCTCGGTAGCCCTTGGGGAGCTTGTTAAAAAGTGGGCTCCACCCCAAATCGAATGAATCCAGATCTCAGGGGCAGGGTGTGGGTTATGCATGTTCAATGCTGAATTTCAACTATACAGTAGTTCCAGGGGAGGCATTTCGTTGTCGCCAACGAACGGTTCCTGGATCCATTTGCTGGTAGAGCCCAAGTTACGCCTCGGATTTTAAGCTTGTTAAGTGGGAATGTGAACTGGTCCTTCAACAGTTTAAAACATGACATAACTTCTTGCTGCGGATGCACTTTAGTCCCGAGCATCTCTCTCTCCTTCTCCCTCTCCTTCTCACTTAAAAAAAAAAAAAAAATTTTTTTTTTTTTCTAAAATGCACCGGTTTTATCTGTACGGAAAAGCTGTTGACTTAGTTAGCTTCTCCTGTGGTCTGGTCCAGGAGAACTGGTGAGCACGCTCTAGTCTGAACAGATCAAAGCATCAGTGCTTTACTGACTCAGATGAGCCTCTATCCTGTGGCAACCCCCTAACCAGGAGCCAGCGTTCTGCTCAGAGCCCTAGCGCTGCCCACAGACGCCCAGCGTTTTCCAAGTGTCCGTGAAGCCAGTGCACTTCTACTGTTGATGCATTCGCATTTCTTTGAATTTTGAGAATCCTTCTCCTCATGTCCTGATGTCTGTTGTCTGTCGCTTGGGCACTGCATCTCAGACATGGCTTGATCAGAATTGTTCTGATCGTTGAGTGAGCCGTCCCACACAAACGGGCAACATTTGTCGTTTTCTCTCCATTGACCTTTTAAAATGATCTCAGCTTTCACTCCTGTAACGTTTGTGTATCTCTTTCCTACTCCCCTTCCAACATGATTATCCTTTTCCTCTATTGATCACAGGGGAATAGCCATCCTTTAAAAGCCCCTCAGAACCCAGCAAGAGCCTGGGTAGTTCCCTGTGGCTTTTAAAAACTTAGGGTTCTCATTCATGGAGCCGGCATCAGAATCCCCTGAGAAGTGTGTTAAACACAAGAGTGTGGGGGCGCCTGGGTGGCTCAGTCAGTTCAGTGTCCAGCTTCAGCTCAGGTCATGATCTCGCTGCTCATGGGTTCGAGCCCCATGGGGGTTCTGTGCTGACAGCTGGAGCCTGGAGCCTACTTTGGATTCTGTGTCTCCCTCTCTCTCCCCACCCCTGCTCCCCTGCCCCTGCCCAACCCTGCTCACGCTCTGTCTCTCTCAAAAATAAATAAACATAAAAAAAATTAAAAAAAAGACCCACAAGATTGTTATGCCAACCTCCAGAGTGTCTGATTCAGTACATATGGAGTCCAGCCCGAGAGTCTGCATTTCTAGAAAGTTCCCGAATGCCACTGCTGG